CAAGATATTTACTAATTGTGACTCCTGGCCAAATTTGAGCGAAATCGCTTGAGCGGTTCGAAAGTTATTGTGGACACAACAAAAATTAGCACACTTTTTATCACGTCGATCGCTATACTTTTCTCACACACTTCGTGTGCGGAAAAGTAATAACTCTCTCGGCATTTAATATGAAAACAACAAGCGATTTCGAATAGATTATCGAGACTTTTACTCTGCTCGTTTCTGACATCAGTTTTACCACGACTCGTCACGAGTCACTCAGTGATATCCTTCGACATCGAACGGAGAAATGTTCGTCGCATTTTTTATTCTCGATCAAACATATTTGTGGGACCCATTCTCAATTCGATCTTTCGATATTCTCTATGGTATAATATGGAACATATCGCTCGTTTCGAACACATAATGCTTGAATGTTATATTCTTTCTCTAATTTTATCTATCCGGTTTTTTTCTTTCTCTTTCTCTCTCTCTCTCTCTCTCTCTCTCTCTTCGTCTCTTTCTCTAGGTTCAATACGAACATCATTCTTGGCTGGATCAGCGACTAATGTCACCTGGCATTTGGCATATCCACACAGAGTAAGTCACCATAATTCTTGTCAAAGATTGCTTTTTTTCTTTCTTAGATAAAATTCCGAATCATCACACGATTTAAATGCCAATGAAATGAAATCCACTGAATATTTATGTTTTTTATTCGAAATGGAAGACTATTTATTTTCTCACATTTGATTATTTCTGGTTTTTCGTTCTTTTGTATAGTTTACATAAATCTATAACTAAGCTACACCAAAAATGGTCCATGTCATTGTTACGGAAATGACGATGAAAATGGCCAACAGAATGAGGTTGCTGTAACGTTGCGTGGTACTCGATGTGTCTCGTGGAGTTGATGTTGTTGTTGTTGGCTCGTTCGTTGGTTTGAATTGTTTCAAATTACAATTATTTTCACCGTCACAAAATGAACATTGACCCTCGTTGCCGTTGCAATATTCTTTGTCATTTTCAGCCATTTTCGATGCACATGTCTGCAAGAAAATATCAACGCTACGATCGATGATTGCACATGAGTCGGTGATATTTTTGCAATACACCGAGTATTGGTCCACCAAATCTGGTGCGTCTGATCTGGTTGGACATTCTCCGGACGTACTGTTACATTGAACACATTTTCGACGATTTGCCGGAAACTCATGCGCATTACAAGCATCCGTATCGATTGCAATACACAATTTACAAGTTTTTTTATTATGCAAACACTCACTATATTCGCGCGAATTTGAAATGCACCCACGTTCATTGTCCCCAGTGTTTTTATCCTGAAAAATTTAAAGTAATCGAGAAAACTGTTAACAAAAAATGAAATCAATAATAATTGATTGAAATTCCATTTATCCATACCCATTTCACGTAGCAATAAAAATCATCGAGACCATTCGAATTGTACAGGCACTGAGCCATTTCCAGTACATCGTTCAAGCAATTGCTATCGCTTTGCGAATCACATGTTTTGCACTTGTGTTTTGGGTGCCCTAGATCGCAAAGTGGGCTAGTACAACGGTGACATTTCGCTTCGCTTGACTCACATGCCAATTGCTCTGAACGACTCAACGTCTCGTAGCAATCACGTTTTATTATCGTATCTTTTGTGGATAGAATTCGATTTCAAAATAAATGAAAAAAAAAGTTTATTATTTAAACACGATTTTCAATGGAACCCTTCATATGACATTTGAAACACAAAATGAAATTACAATTATTCGTTATGGTGACGAAGCTGTTGCAGATTTTCGGGGTTGCTTTGTTGCCGGCATAACAAATGATACCGTCCCAATCTTCTGCTGTTTGCATTCATTTCGATCAACCGAAACGTCGATAGAAATCTGTGATTTGACCAAAAAATGCAATCCGCTTTTATATTGTCCAATCCCGTAAATGTACGGGTGCAACCGTACGCGATCTACGCAAATCCTTATCAACAATTGTTTACATCAAATTAATGAAGATTCTTCTTCTTGTTATTGAATCATGTTATTATTGTTTTTACAATATGCCGACAAAAAAGCTGTTCTTGATGAATGAAAAATGTCCTCGAACTTCAATAATTTGATGATTTTGTATCGATGATAAGATAGTTGTTATTAGAGATCTGCATTTCATTCATTGCTTTGTTTTGTTCTTGTTTTGGTTTTGGTTTTTGCGCTAATTCTTTGTTTACTTTCAATTATCATTTTGGCAGGGAGGCTTTCGATTACAATTGCTAGACCACTTAGAACGTCCGGTTTTGGATTTGACACCGTCGGTCGGTGGTACCGACTTTGTTCGCAGCGATGTCACAGCACAAAGCTTTGAAGTACGATTTCCATCGGATTTTACGTGCATAGATTGCACATTGCGACTCTTACGTCAAGCTGATGAATGGTCGAATGGGTATCGATTCTGGTCATGCGCTGATATCGATATCAAAAGCCGTAAGTATTACATCATCACATACAAACGCCACCGAATGCATGTACAAAAAACTAACATAAAACAAACATTGTAATTACAGGAAAAGAATTCCGCGAAACTTGCTCGGGACATGGTAAATATCTTGCCAGTCGATGTAGGTGTGATAAGAAATATTATGGATCAAGGTGCCAGTATAACGACGAGTGCGAAAAAGACGACGATTGCGGCGCACAAGGTAAATGTATTAACCTGCATGGAACAACTTTGCCGAGACGTCAATGCTACTGTAACTTTGGATGGTTCGGACCAAATTGCTCGAAAAGTGAGTAGATCTTTTCTGAAATCTAACAAAACAATCTGGGCGATTTTTTTTTTCTTGATTTTGGCATCATGCCAATGGCATGTAGTAAATATTTATTCCAAAAAATACAAGTATACATTTGTGTCGCTGAACGTTGCATGAATTTCCATCTAACGCGAGTGTAACATGAGTTGCATTAGAAACAGTATTAGCTCATGTTATACTCGCGTTCGGTTGTTTCTATAACAGATCTGTATTCCCATTTTTATGCTCACCGACACATTTGTAACAAAGCAACAGAAGGAAAAAAAAAACAAAGAATAAAACGACGTGATCTAAAAATCGACTTATATTATTTTATACATATGTAGTAGTAGTATACACAGTGATCTAACGACATTCGCGATTGTACAATGTACATAAATAAGTTGTAGTTAGAATGCGTGGGAAAATAGTACGTTCCATTCAAGTTCAAAACAAGTTTGTTTGATCAAACAAATGATTGCAATCGAATTGGCAGCGATCAAAAGTTTTGTCAATATTTTCATTCTTTAATCCAGAGGTTGGTTGCACATAAATTTTTCTATATAAATTTCAAATATCAAATAAATTAATCCGATATTTTTCATGCGTTGTGTTATTCTAACTCATTTGCCAGCTATTTATCGCTGGAATGAGATTTTCGTTTTGTTCATTTACCGTTATTTCTCAACAATTCTGCCACTGTGTCACTACATAGTATATATAGTCCATAAGAAATGTGCAGAGACGAAAATGTTCGCCATTTAGTTTTACATTGCCAATACATTAGTTATAGAGATTTTTGTTTTGTTTATTTTTTTGTCGTTTATAAACAAATCTGCCTATCTTTTTGCACATTGCCACTGTACGTAGTATATGTCCCTAAGAAATGTGTTGAGACAATGCAAAAAGATATGCAGATTTGTTTACAAACGACAAAAAATAAACAAAACAAAAATCTCCATAACTAATGTATTGGCAATGTAAAACTAAATGGCGAACATTTTCGTCTCTGCACATTTCTTATGGACTATATGACACAGTGGCAGACTTGTTTACAAATATCGGTAAATGAACTAACCAAAAATCTCATTCCTGCGATGAATAGCTGGCTGCCAATACAACAGCCGATGTCTCGTTCATGTACTGCAAATGCGTCAGAACAACACAACGCATGAAAAATATCGGATAAATTTATTTGATATTTGAAATTTATATAAATAAATTTATCTGCAACCAACCTCTGCTTTAATCAAAAGAGTTTTCGTTTTACAGAATCGCCAATCAAATCAAAGGATCTTGATCTATCACAATATTCAACCAAGCAACTATCACCTGACTATCGCATTCACTGGCGCATATTGAAAGAGAAAAATGAAATTGAAATAGTTGCCGTTGTGAATGGCACATCATGGGTTGGATTGGGATGGAGACCACGAAAACTCAATGCGACCTGCCGCAATTTTCCACTGCTCCAAAAGGCATCACCGTCAGAGCAATTGGTTAAAGCTTCGTTGAGTCAAAATTCCAAAACACCAACATCTGAACCTGAGCCCAAATCACCAAAACTGGAGCCTGAAAAGGAACCAGGTAGTATTTTTGATTAAACGAAATTGCCATGAAAAGACCCTAAATTCGACATAAATTTTGATATCATTTGAAAATGAAATAATCCAATAGACAATGATCCAATGAATCTTTTACAAATCCTTCGTATATATAAATGCATTTGATTCGGTTCAAATCTCGTAATATCGGTTTGACGTATGTGCTTGTGTTTACAATTAAAATGACTTTGAACTCAAAGCAATCGTCTCAAAATGTGTTTCATAAAAACTAAAAATTGTATGACGTTCGGTATTTTCGGGAAAAAACTTAAATTTAATGGTTTAATTGCATATTCAGCGCCCGAAGGAAGCAGTGAGCCTGAGCCTAAAAGTGAATCGGAACCATCATCGACAAGTGAACCATCTTCGGAACCTAAATCAGAGCCTACCTCCGAACCGGAAAAAGAACCAGGTAACGTTTTGATGCGTTGTTAAATATCATTCTTAAAAAAATTGCATCGCATAGGTGACATTTCCAAAAAAAAATCGGGGTTTTTAAGCTGTGATTACAACAACTCTTGTCCTGCGTTCAATCAAAACTTATGTCAAAACTTGTCTCTCTCAGAAATCTTAAGCAGTTTTGTTTTGCAGAAAAATCTAAGTTTTCTGGAAGATAAGGATTTCTGGTAATTAAGATTACTGAGATAGTACTGTATTGTGCTGTGGTGAAATATTGATAAACACTAATTTCGCGTTGGTATCAATGAAACTTCTTAAGATGTTGTTTGCTGTCTTCTGCTTTGCTTGTTTTGTGTCCTACTATGCTTCGAATGACACAGTACAATCATATAGTGTACACTGTACACACACGTTCTTGATATTTGTTTGTTTTATAAAGAACATCTAAACTGAGTTTACTGCGAACAACATCTCTTTTACGCCAACAGCAATTCGTCCACGAACGATTCAGTGTGACGGTTGGTGTGAGCGAGACAGGATTTGACAGCAAACAATTTGGTTGTATCAGTTTAAATGATCTTTGAACTAATTTGTTGTTTCACAATATATCAATTTGGCATTATTTTGAACAGAAAATAATCCGGTTTTTTCGATTCTAAATTGTAAAATTAAATGAAAAAACATTTTTTTCTGACATAAAAGCAATTTATGAATTAAAAATTGCTTTTATGTCAGAAAAAAAAGTTTTTTCATTTAATTTTACAATTTATGTGACTGAGAAGAAAAAAAAATTCGATTCTATTTCTAGCTGCTGAGGAACATAGTAAATCACCTTCAAGTGAACCAAAATCCGAGCCTACCTCAGAACCAGAATCAGGTAAAGCTGTGACGAGAGTAGCTCATTTGAATGACAATGTTAAAAATTCAGGCTTATTTCAAATGTGTACAAAGTTTGAATGTGTCACAATAACAATGTTAATTCTTTTTTCAAAATTGTCAGAACCAGAAGCTGAAAGCAAAGCCCCTGAAAAGGAACCAGGTAATTTGCTTGTTTAAAATAACTTTTGGCATTTGTCACTAGAAATGAAGTCGGATTCACTTTGATTTCAAATAGAACCGCAAAACACTGTGTCATGATCTAATCAGATTATTTCAGAGAATTCTAAATTCATCATGATCTTCGTTAATAAACTTCTTATTAAGTTTGATTTGTTTGATAAAAGTGTATCAAACTTAACACATACACACAGGGGAATAAGACTCAGAAAATATGTGAAGGGGATTTTTTTTCTCGAAAAATGAACAATATATAAGAAACAGCTTTTTTTGATCAGTTATAATTTATCCAACAAACGGATGAAAAAGAATAACAATTGAACACATTTTCAAATAGCCCATTACATAAGATTGAATTAACTCTTCTTTATTTATGTGATTTATCTGGCGTTAAAATGACCTAATCAAATACCTTCTTATTCTTTTCAGCCCCAGAAGCAAGTAGTAAACATCCGTCAAGTGAACCAGAGTCAAACTCTACCCCAGAATCAGGTATTAAAACACTTTTGTGAAAATATCTTTTTCACAAGAATCAACGAATTGAAAAGAAATTAATTGGAAGAAATGAGCTGCGATATGAAACAACTAAAATAAAACTTGTTTATAGAACCAGAAGCCACCACTGAACCAGCAACAGAGCCCACCTCTTCGACAACGTCAGCACCACTTCGACCACAGCCGTTCAGACCACGTTCATTCAATAAAACTAAACGCGTTGTAATTCCATTGAGAGAACGACCAAATATTCAAAGCGCAAGCAATTTGTCAAAGAGACATACCAGAGCGGCTCTAAGTAATTTTTTTTATGATTTTTACTCTGATGAACTTGAACTTGATTAACATTTAATATTTCTTTTAAATATAGGAGCGGAACCTTCAAGCGAACCCGAAGGTAGCTCTGAACCAGGTGCGTTATTTCATGATAAAATATCTGAGGAAACATTATGAACACTTACATAAATGTTGTCGAGAAAAACTTACACTTATGTTGTTAGCGAGTCAACGATAATATTATAAGATTCAAGCGTTCTATGGCACATAACTCGATTTATCAATGCTATTCTACATGATAGAGGTATAATTTTGTTGGGAACATGAAAGAGGCCATGAAACACTCGAGTCTTTGATGATCTGCTAACAACACAAGTGTATGTTTTTTCCGCACCGGTAGTCTCATCCAGTAGCTGTCAAACGAATAGCGCCATACATTTCAACGACAATGTTTGACACTACTCAATGTTTGACAATGTGAGCGAGAGGTAAATGCGTCCACGACCGTGCTTTTTGCACAACGAGCGTGCACACTGGTGCTCAATATTTGGACGCACTTTAGATTGCAAATAATATTATTGTTAGTGTAGTGATATCCCTGCGATTTTTCCTAGAAACATTTAGATTAATCATTCTTATCTTGATAATTAACAAATCTATCATCGATTTTTATTTCAACAGAGCCCCCATCGCCAGAGAAAGAGCCTGAATCAAGTAAGTAAAAAAACACCATCGTCTTATGTTTTTCTCAAAGTGCTAATCGTGAATTTCTACATCCAAGCTCCAGAAGGCGGCCATCCCGAACCGGGATCTAAATTGAGTGAGCCAAAGGGTGAGCCATCGAGTGAGCCATCGAGTGAGCCGTCGAGTGGGCCATCGAGTGAGCCGTCGAGTGAGCCGTCGAGTGAGCCTTCGAGTGAGCCAGAAGGTGAGCCGTCGAGTGAGCCAAAAGGTGAGCCGTCGAGTGAGCCAAAAGGTGAGCCATCAAGTGAGCCAGAGGGTGAGCCTTCATCATCATACAAGCCAAATGTTGAATACATTTCACACGAGTATGCACCAAAACACGACTTCAATCCAATGGACTGTACCGATATTGTCATTGGAACAGCTAGAAACCAAACGAGCCGAATTTTGGATTACTACACGAGAGACAGGTAAAATTGCTATTGCTGCATTCGATTTGGCTGCATTTCTAATGTTCGTTGAAACACACAACTGTTTTCCAGATCAACACCGCGTCAAGATAGTTTCTGGGGTGGATCAAATGATTTGACAGCAACTGGTGGATTTGAAGAGAATGGCGTAACGACAATCATATTCCGTAGAAAATTGGAATCAAAAGACATAGCCGATCATTCGATTGTGAATGATTTGATGCATGTAATTTGGGCCTTAGGTCAAGAGCCGGGAAGATATGTACATTCACCACCATCTGGTTTGGAAAAGGAATCAGCATCGAAGCGAAATTTCTACCAACCAGACGAATTAAAATATCACGGTCACAAAACACAACGCGGAGTAGCTCAAATCAATTTCTTCGAAGACACCAAACCGAAAGCTGCTTCTGGATCAAATGGAACGGATGCATCGATGAATGTTCTTGACAACAATTGCGAAGGTCAATGGAAATATCCACGCACCTGTGAACCGGAAAAATTCAATTGTGAATACTATGCATCGTGGCAGACAATTGGTCGCGGCGATGAATTCCGTTTCCGCATTCAAACCACAAACACAAAAACATGGACTGGAGTAGGTTTTAGCGATGACGAAAAAATGTCGCAAACTGATGCTATTATCGGATGGGTCGATCCAAATGGTAGACCATTCTTGATGGACACTTGGATTACCGGCTACACAGCACCCAAACTCGACGACAATCAAAATATCCATAACATTTCTGGGCGCATTCAAAACGGTGTGACATTCCTTGAATTCACACGAAAACGCGAAACAAACGACAGAAGTGATCTATCATTCACCGACGATAAATGTCTGTACCTCATGTTCCCGGTGCTTGGCGGCCGTTTTAATGCCGTCAATAAGAAGATGAGCAAACATGAGCAGACGCCGGTGGTTACCGATTCAAGAATCTGCATCAAATCGTGTGGTCGCGAATTGATCGACAATAGTATATTGCCAGTAGAAAAAGGGCCTAGTCAATTGGCGTATGCGGTCAGTGTAAAATTAATGAATTTAGCTGAATCGTTTGAGTCGCCAGCAAAAGGAACGCCTGAATTCGACAGTTTGGCATCCCAAATTGCCAATTCGATGGCAGGTGTTCTAAGCCATATCCCCGGTTATACCGAAACCGAAGTAAACAGTTTTGAAAAGTAAGTTTTGTTATGACTGTGGTTTGGAAATGTTCTGAAACTCATTTGTAAATTCAATTCGTTTTCAACAGAGACAAAAATGCAGTCATTGCAAAGATGAATGTTCTTTTCGATAAGGCCGCCTACGAAAAGAGCCAAGCCGTTAAGGTTACCGATAGCAATGAATTGAAAGAAGGCGAACCGGATGCCGAAGAAGATGGTAAAGTTATCAAAGACACCATTCTCAATAGCATTCAGTCGGCCAAGTTGGGCGCATTGACTGTTGACCCCGGATTTTTGCATTTCCGCACACTGGATCGTAAGCAAAACATTCCATTATTTCCAGTTTAATTTTTGAACATGTTTTAAATGTTTCCGTTCCATTATTTAATTTATATAGACAAATTTGAAGAGGATGAAGCAAGAACATCATTTTTCAATTTATCAGAAGTTCGATTGTACACGGTTATTGGATTGATCGCAGCTCTAGTCTTTGTGGCTTTATTACAAGCCGCATGCACCATTTACAAAACTTCTTCATCAAGTCGAAATCAAAAGGTAAATTTAATGAATTTTTTCGCTTTCAAAAAAGGCATTATACACCTTAGATGCTTCAAATTCTCGGAGGGTCCGATGTATCGGCGCACATTTCGAAAAAGATGTGTTCGACGATGCTTTGGGCAATGAAGCATTTTATATGAGAAAAAATTGTAATGCCGAAAATATGTAAATTCAATAATTTTTTTTTTGGTTCCAATAAAATGGAAAATTTAATGAGTTAGGCATGTGAAATAAAATCATATGTTAAGCACTTTTTTAATTGTACAAAATGGATTTGGATAGTGAAGTGCATTAAACGAAGAATTATTTATAAATACATTTTTTAGCTGATTTACGCTATCCCAAAGGATTACCGAATCGGTCAGCAGTCAAGCAACCTGTAAAACTGTTCAATTTAGACCCACACACACACACACACACAAAACTATTCCCCTTCCCGAACAAAACTAAACGATATATACTTTTGGTACTGTTTGCTTTTTCTTTTTTTTCTTAATTTGTTTAATTATTTTTTTTTCTATTTATTTAAACCAACAAAAAAAAAACAACAACTATAATTTCACTAATTTATTGTTATCATATCATATGTTTATTGAACTTTTTATGTGTTTTTTTACATACATATATACATAGTGTTTGGGTGTGTTTACTATATGTTTCTGTATTGTTTCAAATTGTGTTGCATGTCAATTAGAACAGTGATTTTTTTGGGTTGTAAATTCAGGGGATGCATTGAAGAGTGCATTTTTCGTGTGTATGTTTTCATTCGTTTCATGTGACTACATCATAATTTATTAATTTTGCGCGTAAACTATAAAAATAAATATGAAACATGAAAAAAAAAACTATTCAATTGCATGAAACAAGCAATTATTTCTTATTCGAAACACTATTACGCTTGATTTGATTGTCCATTGTTGATTTGAAATGAAAATCGCTAATTTGATAACTCAGTCAATTGAAATGAAATAATGCAATTAAACGCGTGACTTCAATGACAACGCACATTCAATATTCCCAACTTGTGCTTTTGAGCGGCGCGAGATAGCGGTAGCGCCTAATTAGACAGCGTGGTTGATTGTCAGAACTACATGACATTCTGTCAACGTTCCTCAATTCAGCTTCTTTAGGTACTCTGTGTAAATGTGTTTTTTATTTTAATAAACATCCAAACAATTTTTTTCAATAATGATCATTATGGTTCGAACCAAAACGATATATTCAATGTTGCTTAACATACTTCACTTGCGTTTTGGGGAAAATGTGTGAAAATTTTAAAACTTACTTGAAGAATGAAATATTTTCCAAAAAAGTACCAAATTCATGTTCACACAATTTAATTTTGCAATATCGTTTTGTGGGCATTTTCATAAAAATATAATTTATTCAATAACGAAAGAGAATATAAATGTGTAACAAGCACGCTGTGTGTGACACTTATAACTTACGTACTATTGCGAAATAGTTTGAACTACTAAATGTCAAATATTTAAATTCGCGCCGCTGAATAGTTGCTAAATATACCGCAGATCTTATTTAGTCGCTACCGCTATTCACTGTCACGTCAAATACATTGGTTCTTATGGGAGAGAAGCACAGGTTGAATATTCCCGAAGAATTAACCTTGTAAATCGTTTGTGGCCGACACAACATCAATAGTTATGCAAGACGTGCGTTTCGCTGTTAATTTTTCCTGCTTTGTAATCATATAGTCATACGTACATATTAGACGGAATTGAATTGTTTACTTGTATATTCAAACATTAATTTATCAATCACGGTTCACAAACTGAATACGGTTTTTCACTAAATTTAAATGTTTCGCGTGGTTATTGTTGAATGTTCCAATTTTATTACTAATCAATTGTCTATTGTTACAGGATAAATTAATACCGAATTCAGCATGGAAGGATTATTCAGCGAATACAAACTATGCATTTGACACGGTCGATGGATCGCATATTCCATCAGATGAGAAACAACAAAAGCGAAACGGTTCGCGTATGAACACATCGTCCAGTTCACAACAAACACTTCCACTGTCACATGCCCCAATGAAATCACACTACTATAACGTCGACAACGGTGGCCGTCATCATCAAATGTCGCCATACGAAAATGGATATTCGAGTGGCCAGTATTCAAACCGCTACGGAAATGGTAGAGTGTTGCTTGCAAATTTGACCGTTGGGCACTTTAAACCGTTATCTCTAGTTGATTTCAAATCGACTAATGTTCATTCTTTTTTCATAATTTGTATCATTCACCTACAGATCGAACGTACTCATTGCCTCGTACCGCAGCCGGTGCATCATCGCACGGCCAACGCTATTCACACCAACCACAGCCCGATGGCTATTATACCCAAGATCGTCGTCGCAACAACTCAAGGTCAAATCATCATTCGATGGAAGAGGCAGCAGCTGCAACAACGGCCATGGATAAGCCTGACTTTTATTTCATGCCATCGCAGCGCAAATATTCCGGTGAAGTTGTACGCGTCTACGTCGATTACAACAAAGATACGAAAAATAGAAACAATTAGAATTAAATGGAAAACAAATGGGAAAAAACAGAACTCTTCATTGTGTCAGTGTGCTTTAATTCGATATATATAAATAGTGAATTTGTCTTTTAATTTCGACGAGCAAATTGAACGGGAAACATGTGTATGTGTTTTTTTTTTCGTTTAATTTCGCATCTTATTTGTTTTCTCAGCATACATTGTAATATTCGGTGAGTGCCACTAGAAAAATATTCAGACTTATTTAGTGCGTGAGACGCATGGTCACTCATTTAGTGAGTGAGACGCACGCGGATGAGATGAAGCAAAGCAAAAGAGAAGCGGGCAACTCCATACGAACGAACGATATAGCGCGCATACATTTCGTCACTCCGTCGTTAGAATACGGACACAAACACGTAGTACCCATTGACTCTATGTTCTAGTTGCGCGCTTCCCTTTCGCTTTGCTTCATTCCATCCGCATGCGTCTCACGCACTAAATGAGTGTGGATATTTTTTTAGTGGCACTCACCGAATATTACAATGTATGTTTCTCAGCGAAGAAAAGAAAATTGTTTTTTAATCATAAGGATAGTCGTTTTGGAATGTATTTCCTCTCTTTTTTGAATGCGTAAAATTTGTTGATGAATCTTTGAAGATACTCAAAGGAAAATACCGTTTTTCTTAATCTGTAGTTGGGTATTGTTTTTGTTTTATCGAATTAGCAACAACGAAAAAGAAAATATTTTTTTAAATACTGCAAACAAGTCGAAACCATAAGCAATTAGTGCCTAGTTAAGTAGTAACATTTTACTGCAATCGCAAATCAAGCCGGTAGATTTATGAAACCGCTTTTGTATCATTCAGTTTAGTCGCAAATGAAGTGCATGTAAATATTGCACACAATGTACATTTTAAATATAATTTACCGTTTATTATTTATATACGGGCTAAACATAGGGTACACACAAACACAGTATAGCAATTTATTATTTTTATTGTATAAAGTGGTTGTCATGAATCGCAACGTCATTAAACGACAATTTTTCAAAAAGAACCGATTTTTTTTTTATATCAGAGTTAATGAAAGTCACTTCTTCCAAACTATAGTGTGGCTTTCTAATTTATACAAATCTATACTACTGATAAAATATAAATAATCAGAATAACAAAACAATTTTTTTATATGTTGTTTCAACAAAAAATCAATAAAAAAGGAAAAATTTAAAGAACTTATTGCAATATAATGAGAAACTTAATTTATTAAGAGAAAAACATCCAAAAATTCAATGAAGACAGGATTTTCAGTGCTCACTTTCTGAGTACCAACTTTTTTTAATTGTCGGTGCTTTGTGTGAAGAAACTGATATTCTCGACACGTTAGATTATATGAAACGCTTGGATGCTAAACGTGATGAGCTTCGAAGTTTACACGTGCAAATCAATTGAATACAATGAACAGAAAACTGTCACCAATCATCATGAATCGGTATAATTTTAATTGTTTTTGTGAGAACTTTTGCAACCTCTTCAAAAAAATTCAAATGGCTTTTCTGCGTCTTCGGACATAAAAACAACACTGTCAAGCTCAAGTGATTCCAGGCTATCTCAACAGTATTCGTTTATATAGGCCAATATCTTTTTGTTCAAAAGTGCTTGTTGTTTGTTACTCAAACGGTTCACCTTTCATCGTTATGTTGGAAATTTTTCACTGAAAAGACGTAGAATTCTGAAAGCTGCATCTAATATGTTTGATTTTCTAGCACCATTAGAACCGTTCAGAACTGTAACATTTTGATCAAAATCATCGATTTTTGTTCAATGTAAAATGCGTTTATTGTTTTTTTCAATTTGTCCATTCTTACCACAGTTGAATCTTGCCATTGTTTCCGACGCGATGTCCAATGAGTTATGTGCGTACATTTTCAATACCAATGAATTCTTTCTGGTTCATCTTCTCGTTGTCGTCGTCGTGGTTCAACGATGAAGCTGTATTCAATGACACAAATTGATAAAAAACATATGTTTGTACAAACTACAAAAAAAAAAAACTTGAAAGACATCCGATTGCTCATCATTCATTTCGATATTGGTTGCTTCTTTCGACGGTTTTCCGATATCGTCACCAATGTTGATTTGCTTCAAACCTTCCACCAAACCAGAATCGGTCGGATACTAAAATGATGAAAAACTTGTTTATGTTCCATATTCTGTGTAATAAGTGAGATCGTTCTTTGAAACAAATTGAACAAAAATATATTTTACTACTTACATGTTGTTGCTTCAGGTAAAAAACGTGTCTTTTCATGTAGACGGATGAAATTGAAAAGAAAGATGAATGTATAAGCGTTGATGTATCAAATTCGAAAAGTGAAGAGGTTCTGATGGCGATAACAACGCCATCTTGTGTTTAGATGCTATCGCCTCTATTTAATCAATGTATTAACACATTCTTCTGTCTTTTATTCTCTCTACAATTATGTCCATGCTAATTAAACGATTTTCAAACAGAATATCAAGCGAAATGAAAAAAACAAGTTTTCTTTTTCAATTCTTCAGAATTGATTTTCTTTATTCATCCAAATTGATTTGTGAAATTGCCATCCGAGTTTTGAATAATCTTAATTAGTTGCACTTTCTTGGTATTAATGTGCCCGTGACTGTCTCGGAACACCGTTAACGAGGTCGGACATCTGTTTTGCGCTGCATCCAGTTAATTGCTTTAAATCGCAGATGAATTTGTACACAAATTTCTTGCCTATCGAAAGTATGTCTCCGTTGTAATAATAGCGCAAGGCACGTGATAATCTCCCATAATTTATAGTTGACTGGTTTTTGCGTTTGTCCCACAGTGCTGCCACACGATCCGAGTCAACCAACTTAAATTCTCCCTCATTGCCATGCCACTGGATGATGTTGCGATGTTTTTTGTCAGTCAAAATCTCCAACAAAAATTGCCTAATGAAATTGATTAAATACTTTTAGTTCAATGCGCAGAGCGTTCACGGTTTTGTCAATTCTAACCACAACAGAATCTGGCCATTGTTTCCGGTACGATTTCCTGGTTTCGATCGTGAAATTGTCCCAACGCTGCCGATGGCTTTCGTGTTGTCTTCTAAGCTTCGGCCGATTTTGGGTCAACTGGAATGGCAACGAAATGACCTTTACGCAATAGTTCCAAGTGTGTCAAAAATTTATTGCCCGGATCGCGCGGAATTTTCTTTTGAAAATCATGCAACGACAATTTGCACAATTCCTTGCCCGTTATACGCCAATCATTCTCCTGCAAACGTAAGACAAACTGGTTGACAGCCCATTTCAACCAAATTTGCACATGATCCTCGGACCAATTTTTCAAATCGTCGGGAATATTTTCTTGTTTTTTCACCACTAAAAACTTCTTGTTCACCACCCAATTCAAAAATTCCAGATTCGACTTTTTCTCTTCATCGTTCAGCACGGCTAAATTTGAGAAAACTGATGTGTTAGAACGAGAGAAAAAAAAAACATCAAATTTATAAACAACAACAAAAATCAATTTACATCAGATGAATCATTGCTGATGCATGGTGCAATGTCATTCATAACAATGTCCGAGACGAGACCGATGCTTTGCACATTTTTCAATGCGTTGACCACTCCTTCCGTCGGTTTTGCAACATCGGCAATGTTGATTTTTTTCGGATCATCTCGGACGTACAAGAAGATGGAAGGATGATGCCCAGGTGTATAAAGTGGTTAATAAAACGCGCGAATATTTACAATTTTTGAAAGTGGATGCAATTTAATGTTGTTTTTTTTTTCGTTTTGAATTAATTGGGCCAATTTTTTCTTCTTCAATTTTTTGAAAGTGTGAAAAAATAATATGTTAATGAAAAAAAATATTTTTTCCAATAATATGCATGACATTCACTCAAATATAAGCCATCAACTTCTGAAAATGGATTTTTCAGACCAATCACAGCTTCCATACATTTTATTGAATTTGAACAGGTTACGTTTATGTAATTTATGACATGTTGTTCTAATTCAAAATTTTCGTGACTCTTAAACTTGATTTTGGGTAAAACGCCTCGAAAACACCGTATAATTTGTAAACGACAGAATACAAACACAATCACTTGTTAGTATGAAATGTACAGTACCTCTATTTATTGCTTAAACTATCTAAAATTTGGTGTGTTTCCCGAGTCAGACATTTCTCACGGAATTCAATATCAGTTAAATATAGTCCATGAGCAGGAGCCACACATATTTTCTTGGTAAATGAATTTTGTGATGGAATCGTGAGCATTTCATATAAATCGCGGTGGGTGATGTTGCCTTTCGCGGCAGCCACCAAAGTGCCTACCAATCTCCTGATTTGTCGATAGAGAAATGATTGTGCGTTGAAAATTATGTTCCAATACTCGACAGTATCGCTATGTTCAAATGGTTGGACGGTCAATGCGTGACTTTTTTCAATTTTCACATAATTTATCGTTCGCAATGCAAATGATGGTTTTTTCTAATGAAAAAAACAAAAAACAAAAAAATAGTTACTTTAACTTTCGTTGGTTTGCATTTCAATCTGAGAGATTACTTACATGTACATCATTATTGATACTCATAAAGGTACGAAAATCATGCCTGCCTGTAAGCATCATTGCTGCCTCCTTAAGGCGTTGCACATCGAAATTATCGCTATAATTTTTATAGTTCACGACAATCATTCGTGTTCTTAGTTGAGTCTAATATGTTATGAAATACTCACGCATACATGAAATAGCATCGATATTTCTCTTCGAGTCGGCTATCAATGTTCGTATTCGGTTTTATTATACCTAGCCGATATAGGTAAGTTCGAGATTTTACTGCGTTGATGTGCTCGTTGAATGTTTTGGGCACCATTTCAGCACGATTCACGCGTATTTCATGTTTTGTCTCCTCAAATGAGTCGTTCAACAAACGTGTGATGTAGTCACAATCATACGGTTTTCCATTCATCCGCTCTAAATCCACCAAAACGGCTGAATTTATCGCATGAACACCAGTATCCGTTCTGAAAATATCAAAATGTAATGATATTTATTTTGATTTGTCAATTTCGTCATACAATTTTGGACAAAATCAAATTCTCCAAAGCGTTTGCACCAAAGACTCTTGATGATGTCAAACAAGTCCGTCAATTCACTGGGATAAAATTATAAATTTATAAATTGTAACAAACCTGCTTATCGTCCTCACATTGATTGGATTTCTTGGTTTTAACACTTGCATTGACTCTTCAATGACCCCAATCGTTGTCGGAACCATCGGCTCGCCGTGTACCTTTGATTTTGTGAACGCCCTGCAAAAACACAAAACATCATAATCATTTCGAAAAAAATTTCTGGAATTTTTAGGTTATTTTACTCACTTAAAGTGCGTACCAATGTACGAAATGTGGATTAAATACCGGTTCATGGTCGAAAATGGAATTATTTCTCCGTTTGTGCGCCTGGAAACCTGATTCAAACCAAATTTCTTATCACAGAGTTATATTTTGTTAACATTGAAATCGGCATGTAACCGATGCGTGTGTGTTGTTGTTTCAAAGAACGTAAACAGCTGATTGATTTTGACAGTTCTCACTATTTAGACTCAACTATTGTTACGGTCCATTTGTTTCAATTGCTTCAAGAATCCATCATTTGGTCGAATACACTCTCGTTTGGATTTCACCAGCGCAAATGCTGTCTCGAAATTCATTTGATGATCGGACATTAAATAGGCAATGCAAACGGCGGATGACCGACTAACGCCGGCATTACAATGAACAAGAATTCGCCCTTTTTTATCGTGTACACACTTTATGATTTGACTTGTTCGATATGCTGTTGTTGCTAAATTGGTTTCTGGCAAATCTAAGCACTCCACAAAATGTGTCTGAACAATTGGATCATTTTCATCGTCAATGTTTGAGGCAGGCGTTTTGATTCCAACGCTTAGGATGTCGGTCAATTGATATTTGTCAACATTCTCTCGCATCACTGCATCTTGTGAGCCCAAATACAAAAAATCCTCCAATATACACGCTGGCACGAAATCTGGTTTCGTGTCGACGATAAATCCATAGGTTTTTGTCGTCATTTTCTGAGTCTCTCCGGTTTTTGACAACAATATTCGCTCTTGTGATCCGTCCGCATACGTTATATTGGTCACCGACGATTTCAACAACAGTTTTCTCGCTTTTAGCTGTTCAAGAAAACTCATTGTATTTATGCAATTGATTTGTTTTGATTCGGTTTGAAACTAAAAATTAATTTATATCTAGTTCAGCTTTCATCACGTTGATGCAACTAAATAATATTGTTTTTGACATTTGCTTTCTTATGAATGTATTTGTAATTTCGCCTGAGTTCGTGGGATGTCGCTCTTGTTCGAAAACGATGATACAAATAGCTTTTCTACCGTTTCAGTCTTATAAGGGGCCCTTTTTTATTTTTATTTCATCGTTGTCATCATCATCATCATCATCAATCGAATTTTCATTTCCGGTCGTTTCCTCATCCTCTTTAAAGCTGCGAATATGTTCAGCAAGAACTTCCTGTGGATATTCGACATTTGTTAAATAAAGACCAGGACTTGGTGCCGTTGGCACTTGGTAGTTCCATGATTTTTTCGACGGAATGGTCAACATTTCGTAAACATCTCTTTGATTTATCTTTCCGTTCCCAACTGCCAATAGAGAGAGAGAGAGAGAGAGAGAGAGAGAGAGAGAGAGAGAGAGAAAGATGAAAATCACATCGGCTAGAAACAAATGAATCGTGAAGTTGTTGAATGTACCTGCCAACAGAACACCGACCATGTTTCGTATCTGAAAATTTACATTTAATATCTGACATTCAACGACTAAAAACAAATGAATCGTAAAATTATTGAATGTTTATACCTGTCGATAAAAGAATGCTCTACACCTGAATTCAATGTTCCAAAAGTCAAAATGGGCGAGAGTTTTCTCATAATTAAACCGGGTAGCTAATGTCATTCCTGGTTGAACAGTTATGCTATCCATTCGTCGAAGACAAAATCTTGGATGAAGCTAATGAAAACAAATTGTTTGTTATTTAAAAGGAAGACAATGCAGAATTTGTGTCATTCTTCATGAAAAGGTTACCGTTTTTTGCTCTTTTGAAACTTTCATAAATGTTCGAAAGTCGTGAACTCCTTCCATCTGTTTGGCGGTGTCTTTCACTCGTTCAATGTCAAATCCCTCGTTTCTACAATTAGAGCACACCAAATTGAAAGAAAAATAACATTGATCGTAACACAAAAGAAGAAAATCGAGTAAAGAAACACAAATGTACAAACAATAAGAAATAGCATCTGAAGCTCTCTTCAATCGGAATAAACATAGAACTGTGATAGATTTTCGGGTTCATTCCTTTCGGGACTGGCTCTTTGCAAACGGCAAAACGATACAAATATGTTCGACATGTAGCTACGCGCCGTGAATCAAACTCACTGCTAACGGGAACGGTTTTCAAGATTCGTATTTGTTCGCGCAATGCGCTCAACTTAAGATTTAATTTCTTGGTGATGACCCATGGTGGGAGTGGCGAATCACGATTGACATCGATGTGAAATGTTGTATTGGTTGCATGCACACCAGCATCAGTCCTATTCAATGAAATTGCATTTTCAGAGATGAAGTGAATGTTGAGAATATCCATTACCTGCTCGATGGGGATATTTCCACATTGTGTACATTCTTAATTTTTTCAAAAGCTTGCCTCAACGCACATTCAATCGAATAATGATCCTTAATATTCACATTCTTTGTGACGCCACTGCAAAAGTATTGAATGATTTTTTTAAAACAAATTCTTAAAGTTTCGATTGCAAAAATCTATGTCTTACTTGTATTTCGTTCCGATATACGCAATATTTAGTAAATATCTTTGCATTTTGATTACATTGGCCGGCAATGCAATTCTGACTAAATCTATACGGTTTGCCAACAATATTCTTTATGGTTATGTTCAAATTCAAACTAACGTTTTGACATTTCCCACTTTGTGTGTCTGTTCGATCCACTTGAAGTTGCCGCCTATGTCGAAATCAATGTGAAACGTCAATTTTTGCACACACTGTTTTTGATAATATTTATATGTATTTCCAAATACGACATTCGAATTCCAAAGATAACAATTATACTCTTCTATTATATTAAGTTGAACGTTCACATTTGTTTTCGGTTGTTTTGTTTTTCTGTACAGATTTCACGAGTACAGGAGAAAAAAACGCATTAGAAACGACGAGAAAAACTAGCTTAGTGTGTGATTTTATTGTGACTGACATAAATCTCGTCGTCTATCGATCATTTGTGATAGAGACGACCGAGAAACAGCGATTTAACTAGGAAGAAAAAAAAAACTACGGAATTCATTGTGAATATCATCATCACGGAAAACGGGCGAAACGATAGTTGCCAAAATTTTCGTAAACGTGAATGTAAACATGGATTCATCCAACAATACGGACACAGGTGACACAGGCTCGAAAGGTGCGAATTCAACAGTTGCGCATATTCCACCGCGAATCTCAATGGTAAAAATACATTTCTTTGCATAGACTTTGCACTGTCGAAATCATGAAAATAATTACTTGACATTTCTAACCAAAAAAAAAAAAAATTCATACAGATTAGTACGGCTGTGTCATTTCTGCAAAATCCAAATGTTGCACGAAATTCACTGGTGCAAAAGGAGAAATTCCTACGTTCGAAAGGTCTTAGCGATGAAGAGATTCAATTGGCCTTTCAACAAGCTGGCATTTTTACCAAAGATCCAAATAACACCATCATCAACATGGAAATTGGCCACCGACCACCACCCGCTGTTCAACCGCTAACTCAAGCCACACTTTCGCCATTATATCGTTCACCCGATACGGCACTTCAGAAATTTTACAACATCATTAGCTCGACTGCCATGGTGACGGGTATTGTCTATGCTATTTATTATGTGTACAAGAAATTCATTGAGCCATTCCTGTTTGGACGAAAGAAGGACAGAAAATCCACCAACGATTTGATCGAGGAATTGGATACGAAAATGGACAAAAATATTCGAAAGCTCAACGTTGAAATGACTGCATTGAAAGAAGAGATTCGGTCATCGTATAACGGTGATCATCTGCTACGTCAAGACATGTTATCGTTTAAAAATGACTTGGACGCAATTAAAGGCCTACTCTTGAACAGGTTTGCCATAATTAGTAATTAATTGCAATTAAGCGAGTGGAAAAGATGGAGAGAGATGGATATTTTCATTTTGAACTTTCAACACATTGATTCACTATATTAATATATTACATACATGGTTTGCGTTTTTATTTACCGTAGGAAACAATTCGCCAGCCCGGTTGTGCCACCATCGATCCCAGCATGGCAACTCCAATCGCAACGAACCATGTCGAATGTCGCTGAAGCCAGTCAACACACCGACAGCGATAAGAATGACGACAACGGTTCGGCCGATGGATCAGGCGGATCAAGCGAAACTGAAGTGGTTACCAAACATAGCGACAGCAGTCTTGAATTATTGTAATTATCAATAAAACCCATACACACATCACATTTTTTTATTGTAATCGTCTTCGGCCATTCTTCTCAAATCTCTTGCTCTTTTTCTAGATCTTAAATGCAGCTCATGCAGCATCATTCCAATGACTATTGCGACTGTTTAGCTAAAGAAAATCTCATGCAATTTTGATAGGAAAAAGACGAAGATTGTAATATTTTCAATATTTTCCATTTCTCGAAGATTGTCATACCTACTCCTTTGTTACCTTCCGTATTTGGTCAGATCGAAATATGTGAAATATTCAAACAAACCAGATATATTTTACAAATCGGGCTTTTTTAAACTCTTTTTTGCTGTAATTTTTATTCCGTAGATGGTGGTTTTTTTGTTTTTTTTTTTAAATAATATAATTGAATTGAAAAAATGGAGAGAATTAAATCGCGTTTTCTTCTACAAAAACTATCTTCTATTTTATTCACTTTTTTTTTCTCGCATTTACAAAGTAATAAAGAGTTGTACTTACATCTTGTAATTGACTTGATTTCATTATTTCAATTTACGCTATACAAAGCTCACCCAAATGGACCGAAGTAAGGACATTGTCTTGATATTTCAAAATTATGTATGTATTTTTTTTGTCAATATTTTTTTTCGCTTGATTTTTCATTTATTTTTATTCATTTTTGTTTGTTTCAATTTTTCAATAATTTTTTGATTCTATTTTAATAATTTGTTTCCCATCAATTGTTGATAGTTTCATCTTTTATTTTTCCCTCCTCATGCCTAACGCTCGTTGATAAGTTCCTCCATCGCCAAAATTTTTATCCGTTTTGTGAAAAACAAATAAAGCAAATTTATAAAATTTTCATTTTGCTTCCAGAAAAACAGAAAACAAACGCACTTAATCGCTGAAGTGATGCGATTGACAAGCTAATGGATCAATATATGTTTTTGTCGGTTATGATGTCGGTATTTCAACGATTAAGATCAAATTTGATCGATTCGAATTTGAATTTTGACGATGGTGTGATGGAACAAGGCAGCAATCAAATAATTTGTGGTTGTGGTTGTCAACAAAGTGAAGCGTAATGTTAATATAGTCAGCCAATCCAGAACCTTACAGTGTTTAGTTTTCATTGCTTTTGTCCCTATCGGAATTTCAAAACTAATTTAAATCATGAATGCCATTTCCAACAATTGGGTAAACCTTATAATGAGAGCATTTACTTGTACTTCCAATAAATACGTATAGATGCCTTTAGTGCATTGACGGCTGAATATGTTGCATTACCGCTTCACTTTGTTGGTGGTTGTTATTGCTATCTTGTGATGTTCAATTTTTTTTTCTTTTTCGAATTAATTAATCAATAAAATATTAGAACAATTAAAAAAAAAATCAATAAATACAATGACTGTATAGTATTTTTTTTATTCGCACACAGCCTTTGAACTGAATACGGATGCACACACATACAACATACATACAACATTCATACAAAACTGATCCATGGTCTGTCTCTTTTTTGTAGTTTCATTTCGTCTTTTTGTTACTTCTTTCTCTCATATTAATCATCATTATCATCTTCTTCTTCTTAATAAATTTGTTGTTTTCTTTTTCCTGTTGTTGTATCTATTTTGTTTTAACTAGTTTTCCTTGGTTTGTTCTGGACCACCACATTGAAATCGTATGTGTGTTGTCTGAGTAGATTTTTTTCTTCTTCGGCCCAGTAATTTCGATAACATATTTATATACCGCTGATTTTGCGCGTTCTTTGCAAACTTGAATGTTCACTGATCGATTCGTAACTACCACAAACGATGCAAATGTAAATTCCGTGACAACACTGAGCGCACATCATTCGTAAATCGTAACGCATCTAATAATGGTAATAGCGATAGGAGGCAAATGTCCATGGGATCGGAGAACCAAGATTTGATTGGTATTGCGTTATTTGGAAAACATCGATATGCACCGGGAGAATTATCTATAATAAATATCTAAAATGAGAGACGGAAAAGCAAAATTAAAATTAGCTGTGCACCGAAGAATGATGTAAGTGTCGTATCTCGTTGATAAAACTTGTAGTTTTATTTACCCTATTTAAATCATTGCATATCGCTGTTAAGTCTTTTGTGTATGATCCAAAATCCGGAGTGCAGTGTTGACGATAGTATCGTCGACGTAAAATATTTCTACCATTATCTAATTTATCGGCAACGGCAGCACCATAAATTTCCATGCTCGCCGTAAATACGACTAAATCGTACCATTGTGATACCTAGGGACAAATGAACAACAAATAATGTTAGAATTGCTGAATGAAATGTGCAATTAAGACAAAAACGGATGAATAGAGAGAGAAAAGTGAAAAAAATAGAGAATCAACACGACGACTCCACACCAAGCGGGACAAAATTTGCAAGTGAGCTCTCCGATTTGGCTCAAACTTGGTGTATAAACTCTTCCTTCTGCCCCAAATCGAGGTCGGCAGTTTTAAAAACCATACTCCTGCAAGTATGCAACCCTTTTCTAATGCTTCTAACGCACTAACGCAAGTGTGATTTACTCCCAAAATGTAGCGCCTGGTCTCTAGTCTCTTTTGGCATATAACATGTTTCACTTATATGGCTCAAATTTAGCATTGGGGAGGCTAATATTAGAGAAAAAGGTGAAAAAATCGCACAATCATACCACAACGGCCCAAATCAAGGCGGTGGGCCTTATTTTTGGCCAAAAATGATTGCATTTCCGAATTTCTCGTTTAGGAAATTTTGACTGCGCTGTGAAAATGGATGGCATAATATGTGAAAAGACCAAGGCGTTTACAATGCAAATTCATACTCGTGTCTCTCTCTCTCTCTCTCTCTCTCTCTCTCTCTCTCTCTCTCTCTCTTTTTTTCTCTCATTTTGGTTTGATACTTACAACATCCAAAAAGAAGTCGACATGTGGCCGTTTATGTACAAAGAATCGCACTGGATGTCGATCGATTGTGACCTTAACAGTAAAATCGTGTGGCGTGCCCGGTTTGACCGTATTCCTCGGCATTGCGTCATGATGTGAATGAATCAGTGTCTCATCTAAATCTAACACCAAAGTCTTGCGATGAACCATGCTGAGACGATGCCGCGACACCGGTGACAACGGGAACAAATCATATTTCACCGGCTGATACTGAACAAACTGAATGCATTAATTATTGAGACTTTTGAATGTTCAATGGAAATCAACATGATGATGATTTATATTTCGTGTGCGTTTATTTATTGTGCAAATCCATTCGTGAGACTTAAAAGGATGTATGCTTTTTTCTCGAATCGAGACTCTCGATTTATATTTTTGAAAGGGAAGGTATGTTTTTCTGTCTGCGTTAAAAGAAAGTATGTTGGTATACCGACTATGCGGCTATCGCGGCTTTGCACAGTTTCCGCGGAACTGATAATATGAGATTACAACTTGGTGTCTTGGGTAAAGTATGTTGTACTCAAGGTCCTCTATAACATTGCTGAAGACAGTTATTTCGTAACTCTTATCAGTAGAGCGCACAAATCGCGCACTTCAAAAGGCCAATTTTATAAAGAATTTTTTTTCATAGCGTTTTTCGCGCTTTTCGCAAAACTGCCGAAGACACCAAGTTGTTATCACTTATTAGTTCAGCAGGAGCCATGAGAAACCGCGGCGACTCATCAAAAATGAACATAAATTCTTTCAACCATTATTGGTTACATTGAAACATACTTCTCTTTATTGCTACGAAGTTGAACAAACTTGCGTTTTTTTTATGTCTCACCAATAGAAATGAAATTGAATTTTTTTTAAGTATACTCACAGCCCGAACCTGTCGGTTAAATATGAAACATAAGCATGTCCAGACTTTTGATACAAGTACGATGAATCCATTTATCGATAGGTTCATTGGGAATTGCGAAAACATTGGCATATCCTTTTTGAATGTCGGCGTTATTGCTATCTTTCTCTCTATCTATTCCTGTCTCCTTGAATATATGGTACACACAATTGATTTTTTGTTTCTCGGTTTTTCCTTTTCGAGCGTCGGTCCTAGTTAATCTAACGGTAAGAGAGTCAAGTGTTTGTCCCCCTCGCCGAATATCGAAGAAGAAATTATCCTTCGATTCGGCCCACCTTCCAATCACAACAATACAGCTCGTCTGGAAAATGGAAAGAAAAATAAACCGAGATAAATGTGTTAGTTAAAAATCACATTAAATTTGTAGTCAAAAAATCGAGACAGCAGTAGCCTTTGAATTTCCTATTTCTGATATTTCTGAACTAATTTAAACACGAGCACTTTTTTCAATGTTTCCACACACACAACACAGTTCACATAGTTGAAAAGAGACAAATTCGCTGAGCTGTTTACATGTACGTTCAATTTTGAAGGCAGACAACAAACTCAAATTCGATTCACGCTAAGACTAGCGTCTCGTTCGTTTGAAGAAACGAGAGAGAGAGAGAGAGAGAGAGAGAGAGAGAGAGAGAGAGAGAGAGAAAAGACTCAAAAGTGAAATATCATTATTCAATTGATTGGTGCATTTTGATATTATTACTTGCCCGTCGACGTCGTTTGAATCATGTGTGGCAACTATAAATGCAATAATAATCACGTTTCTCTACGCCTGCACACATAAATAAACTGAAAATGTGATCGCGTGCATTGTTTCAATTGATATCCAGACTCGATGAACTTATGCTCATATATGTTGTGTTGTGCGCTTTCGAATAGTTCATTTTTACTTCATTGATTCATCGTCTTCAACATTTTTATTTCATCGTTTTGCAAAGAAAAAAATGCAAATCAATTTTTGGCGTGAATAGTTTGCTCGATTTTTGGACGACTCAATCACAATCACATCAAATGTAAAACACTTTCCATGCATTTTTTATGCAATAAAAATCATTGACACTTCTTTTTCGTTTTTTATATGAATGACTGAATGAAACAACAAAAATCTTCACTTCCACATACGAAATTTCAATTTATGTTCATTCAGTGACAAGTCACCATGACTTCCTTAGCGATTATATTTTGAAAGAATCCAAAAGAAAATAGTTCAGCTCGCATAAAGGCGATGTTTATCCACGAAGCAAAAAAAGATGATGCATATAGAGTTTATCTGTTTCTACACTGTGAATGCGATCTACCGAAATACAAAAAGACGAAAAATAACATCAAAAAAATTTCAACTACTTATTCGATAGTGCAGAACATCGGAAGACCGTTTGACTAAAGTGAAACATAGTCTCACAACATCAACATTAAAATCAACAGCAATCGCAAATACCAACGAGAAAAATACGAGAGCACCACAAATAGTGTGAAGAGAGTGAGAGAGAGAGACGGAGGCGCACATGTGTTGTCGAAATGGAATGGCATATAGCATAGCCAAGTCCATCGGTCGAGAGCACAAGCATTGCACGCACACATGGTCGTTGATTGTTATTATAGTTTGCAAAGTGCCTCAATACATGCTCTCGCTTTTTATTCTTTTTTGTTTTTTTTTTTTGCACACACGAATGAATCGATCCTGACATCCACAAATGCAAATGTACGAACCAAATTCAATATCAATATCACACGAACCGAAAGAATCGCACGAACAATGAGTGTGTTTCTCTCATTCTCGTTTCATTTCATTTTTTTTTGTATCGTTTTTTTTTTTCTGGGGGAAAAATGCCATATTTTTCAACAATCTTTTTTTCTATGTCCTGTTCTGTGTGACAAGGTTGATTGACTTTTTGCATGGCAAGAGTTTGAATTGATTTTATTTGTCGTCGTCATTGTTGTTGCTTGTTGAGGTTCGTCACACGAAAAACGTCCCTACTACCACTTGATGTGAACGGATGAAAATGACCGAGAATTTTGTAATCGATTCGGTTTACTCCACGCTTTGCATCTCATTTCAAATAATTACCGAAAAAAGTATCAACCAATTTTACTAGCAGGTAAATGACCGTGTCCAAAGGAAAATCGTCTTTGATTGTTTTTTTTTTTTTTTGGTTTTTTGGCTCTGTTTTTGTTGATTCAATGTTCACACAAACACCACTCTTTTTCGTTCTCTTTCAGAAATATTGTTCGAGTAGACGTTCAAAAGAAATAAAAACAAAATTTACTTATGACATTCAAATCAAATATGATTTGTCAGCTACCTACGATTATTCGATTTAACGGAAAGTTCGTATCAATGCAATTTGTTTGCATTTATTTATAGTTTTGTATGTTGGTTGTTATTGTTTTTGTTGCTGTATTTGTTGCTCGTTTTTATTTTGAAAGATACAGCGTTAGAAGTCCGATCTATGCGACGCCATTTTTACTACTGAATGTCGATGCTTGTGATTGGAATTTTGTTTGCTGTCGCTCTTATATACACGCACACGAGACAGCAACGACGACGACGACATCAGCGGCAGCAACGACAACGAAACATAAGCCATTCGGAGAAATGTTGGGCGAACTATACTTGATAATTTCACAACGTGCAGCAAAATGTATGAGTGCAAAACGACAATAGCAACGACGACGACGAATGTACATGTGTATGTGTGTGTGTTTGAACGTGTAATGGTTGTGCGGTGGATTTTATTGGCGTTTTTTGAAAGCATATTTTCACATATGATATACAACAAAATTTATTCACCACACTATATTCTTTTGGTTTCAGTTTTTCCGATCTGATTTGCATGAAATTGATTTTCAGAATGCGAAAGAAAACGACGTCCACTTAATAGCTCAACACAAATTTAGTGCAACATGACACCGATTCAATCGATTTCATTCAACAAAACTACTCGCAATATTCTCTCGCACACGCAATAGAAATTTTGGCTTTTGTTACCTTCTTTTCAGTGGAAAACTAAGCCGGCCGCTACGGTGTCCCACTTAATGTAATGTTTTTTAAAATCAATCACCAATTACCCGTACAATTCAATTTTTTATTCTCACTGCGGTGGTTTTATTTCGTGTATTCATAGAAATTTCGATGCGCGCTCTCTTTCGATATTGCCGGGGAAAATTTGCTCTTTTACTGCGAGAATTTCTCAACTATTCACACACACAGAGACACACTCTATTAACTATTACACACACTCGCACACATATACACTCAAAACCATTTCGAACTGTCAAAATAGTTTACCAATACAGACAGACGCATGCTGTTCGTATGCACAATTGAGTAATGTTTGACAGTTGACATGACAATTGCTTACTTTGCCGTACTTATCACAACTATTTGTTTTCATTCGTCACTAATTCAATCATAACACCTAGATTTTTTCTATCGAATTTTCTACGCGTACTCGACATTTTAGCCAGCGACGTAGCACGTCGATTAAACACTTTCATAGTCTAACATTAAATTCGGTTGAGTAGATAGAAATTGTATTGTTCGTGTCAAATTGAATCTACGTTTTGTGTGTAAATAGTCTTTGTTTTGACGAGAGAAGAAGAAGAAAATGGGCAATCTTTTTGGGAAAACAAAGAGAACGGCACCGAGCCGAGTTACCGAACATGACAAAGCCGTTTTGGTTTGTATCAACCGATTTTCTGGTTGCCATTATTGTGAAATATTAATTACAGTGAAAACCAAATAAAATATCTAACGTTAATACATATAGAAACCCGATTGACACTTGGTTTTTTAATTGAATTTTTTTTCTATTGTTAAAAAAAACTAGCAATTGAAACAGCAGCGAGACAAACTGAAGCAATACCAAAAGCGAATTGAATTGTCACTGGGAAAAGATCGGGAATTGGCAAAGAAATGCTTAGCAACTGGTCGAAAAGAGTGAGCTTTATTGTTTTTTTTTTATCTAGGCATGAGTCATTCGCAATGGATATTAACCAATAAATTGTTTCTTTATTATAGTCGTGCACGTGCGCTGTTACGTAAAAAGAAGTACCAAGAAAAATTGCTGGAAACAACGGATGGTCAGTTAGAAAACTTAGAGAAACTGACATCAGATCTGGAATATGCACAAGTCGAACAGAAAGTGCTAGACGGTTTGAAGGTCGGAAACGAAGCGCTGAAGAAAGTACATGAAATCCTTACAATCGACGAGGTTGAACGAATTTTGGATGAAACAAGAGAAGGTGTTGAGAAGCAACGCGAAATTGATGCGGCAATCAATCAATACGCCGATGCAGCGCTTACGGAAGAAGATGAAGAGGATGTACTGGCCGAGTTGGATAAATTGTTGGGCGCCGATGAAGAAGCCGCAGCGAAACCAATCGAATTACCTGAAGTTCCAACCGACGAATTGCCCGCCGTAGAAGAAACTGCCGAACGAACGGCCAAAGTGAGAAAAGTCAAAGACGAACCGGTAGCATTGGAGGCATAAACTTATTTGAATATAAATCGAAGAGAAACTAACAAAGATAGAAACATCCGGATACGGATCAGTAACACAACGATTAATCATATGGTTCAGAGTCGATTTTTGGTGTGAAATGGTACGAGCGTCAGGCAACAGTCTGTAGACTGTGGAGCTATTAAAAATAAGAGTAATTTTTACATGAAAACAATTTCTTCGAAAATTGACTTCGGACACAAGATAATAACATACGAAATAAAACTCTGCTTCGCTTTTTATTTTTGTAACAAGAGAACAATTTACTACCAACAAAAAGAAAAAGGATTTGTCTAAATTTATTACAAATGTGTAAAAAAAACGTTCATCAAAAAGGACAAAGATAGATAGATATATTTAAGAATAAATTACCACGCTCTAATTAGGACCTCGTAAAAAGGGTACGTTTTTTTTAGAGTTTCATGTTGAAAGAATTATAAAAAAAAGGAAACCATGTATTTTAAACCTTGGGTAAGCATTTCCCAGAACACATAAACTTAAATCGTTAGCAGTACATTGGGAGAAAGTATTGAAGAGGCAAGTAAAAATCATCTTTTGCTCTATGCTTACTTAAAACCAAATAAGTATAAATGAAAATTAAAAAAAAAAATTCAATAGGTGGATTTTTCAGACCACACTTCGGTTAAATTTTTTGTAAATGTGATCCCAATACTGCATTCGATCCAATTCGGGCCAGTCGATGTAGCTCACGTCTGTGGATATGTTTAAGCACTTGTACTTATTTACATTTTTATCACTAGCGTCCAATGAAACTGGCTTCCACTGTATCGGCGCAATGGTTTCGTTGTTCGGGTCGCCAGTTCGTGCAAACGTGGTGAACGTTTCCGTCATTCGTTCCATTGTTTTCCATTCCGTTGAATTACAGGCTGGATCTGAACCCGCAAACACCGACCGGAAATAGTATGAACAATCGTCCGCATGACATACACCTTGTTGTTGAATAAAAAAAAATCACAAAATAATGACGAAATTGATAAAATTTGCTTTGAATGTATTGTTTGCGTAGCAGAATGAAAATAATTATAAACCTGGAATATTTCGACCAGCAAATATTTTTTTCGTTAAACTATATGTTGAATCGAAATTGAATCTCAGTAAATAGGTTGGGGCACTTTGACTCTTCGTTCGTGCTAATATCAAACGATGCGTTGGATGTGCAAACAATTTGTCGTTCAATATCTATTTCATTTGTAATGGAAAGGAAGAGAAAGAAAAATCGATAAAATATAAAGAAAGCTGAGGCCGATAAAAAGAAAATTCCCGTTTGTAAATCGTACCATTAGGTAAACAAAAATGGTTTCAACGCTGATCGCCGAATATCCAAAGTAGAATTTTTTCAATTGTTTTCCCATCTCACGCGCTTGATCACTATCAAAGTCGACGTCCAATTCGTGGAACGGTAACGTATACTCCAATTTAAGTTTTTGCAACAGGCTTGGCTTTTTCATCGTCACTAGAATGGAATCGTGAATGGTGAATATTTATTGAGCTTGATTCACTGAAATGGCCAAAAGTAAATGTGAAGAGAATTACTTTTATAGAACAAAAGTCCTTCTTCCGAACAAGTTCCCATAATCATTGGAACATCTTTGCTCCAAGCGATCTGCGCCAATTCCTTGGGGTCCTTTTTCAAAAAGCATTGTGCTGACTCGTATGGTTCAACAACTGGCCCGAATGGACATAGAATGTATTTTTTACGATCTTCCAAGGTCAATGTGGATTCTTGTACTTTGATGATTGCATCGTGGGATGCTCGCTGAAGGACATTCGCACAAGCTTTCTCTCCCCCCTCACCATTCCAACCGAGTTTCTTAGCAATTCTCTGCGTCCAATCCTTGACTGGCGACAGCGCCCATGGTGCATATGCAGTGCCTGACATCAGAATCGCCTTATGGAATAATCCTTTCGACATATCGGAAATAAGATGCAACGATACCGAAGCCGAACCGGCACTCTCGCCGAAAATTGCTACAAGACAACAGATCACAATTGTAATTGAACAGACAATTCTATTAGTGAGGCGTAAAAGAACGCAAGTTGGTCCAACTTCGTAGCAATAAAGAGAAGTATGTTTCATTGCAACTAATAATGGTTAAAAGAATGTATGTTCGTTTTTAGCGGGTCCTCGCGGTTTTTCACAGTTTCCGCGGAACTGATAAGAGATAACAACTTGGTGTCTTCGGCAAAGTTGTAGCACTTGAGGTCTTCTATAACGAAGTTGAAGTCAGTTATGTCTTATTTATTATCAGTTCCGCGAAAAGCGCGAAAAATGATAAGAAAAAACAGTTCTATATAAAATTTGCTTTTTTATGTGCGCGATTTGCGCGCAACTGATAAGAGATAAGAGTTACTTGTCTTCAACAATGTTATAGAAGACCTCGAGTACTACAACTTTGCCGAAGACACCAAGTTGTTATGTCTTATCAGTTCCGCGGAAACCGCGGAGGCTAGACGGGATGCCAGCATACTTCCTTTTAACGCAGATAGAATCAACAGAAAACATACTTTCCTTTTCAAAAATATAAATCGACAAAAAACATGCATTCTTTTACGTCTCACGAATATAATTCATCTATGCATTATATTCAAGGCTTACTGATATTTTTTGGATCGCCACCAAAATGCATACAGTTCTCCTTGACCCATTTCAACGCCATCGTTTGATCTTTAAGACCGGCATTTCCTGGAATCCCCAGTTCTGGGTCTTTGAACGATGAAAATCCTAAAAATTTAAAAATAAATATGAACTAACGATGAGCAAATACTAAATCAGAACACTAACGAGAAAAAAAAACGATTGTTCATTCACATTTGCGTAGGGTGAGCGCGATACACAAAGATAAGTCCAAGACTTTATGTCTATGACTTTATGCTATTATTTCTGTGTAGTCAATTTCGATATGCTCTAATAATTTTTGCACGCTTTACCGGAAGAAGCAAAAGTGGATTTTACGCGTGCGCGCATACAAAAAAACAAAACACACACATCATCAATAATAACAAATAGCAGTGTCAACAAACTGTAATTGGTGCGTTTTATTTGCTGATATGAGCGGTTGAGTGTTAAGCAGTGCATAATAAAATCAGTTGAGATTTTTTTTGCGCGTGAAAATCATATAAAAGATACTGAGAATGACTGCTTTAATAGGAGAGGTATAAAATCTTGTTGGAAACCGCAACAAATGGCATATTGTTTATAATTTCTCTGTATAATCACGACGTGTGTCATACCGAAAGCACCGAGACGATAATTGACTGCAATTAGGACGACATCTTTGCGCAGCAAAAATTCTGGATTATAAAAATCTTTTGAGTTGGAGCCCAAAATGAAGGCACCACCATGAATCCACACCATCACCGGTTTCAGTGTTTGCGGCTTTATATCTCTGGTATACACCGACAAATGTAGACAATTCTCATTTCCAATTGAACGCTGTGATATTAAATCGGCCTGACATGCTAACGATCCACCACGACCAAATTGCTGATTTATTATTTCCGTGGACGGTTCAAACGGTTGCGGATCCTAGATATTGTATACAATATTTTGATGTTGATAAAGTAAATGTCTCTAAATAACATGTAATCTTTAAAAAAAAAAAATGACCGACAGTTTGAAAAATCGAAGTAGTATAGCACAGGAAACAAACCTTGAACCGAAGCTCACCAACAGGTGGCTTTGCATATGGAATGCCAATGAAGTTGATGTAACGATAATCAAAAGCTGATGCGATCTTAAAACCTTTCACTGGGCCAGACTTTGTTGTAACCGTACACACTTCACTAAAATAGTGGCGATAATAATCGACGACACGTGAATTGGTATACGACCAGGCAAACGAAAATAGGTCAGTTAATTTGATCGATGTCATCTTTTTAACAATACACCACAAATATCACGGTAATTCACACAATGTTCAAACGAATTTAATAATTACAATTGCTGTTGCTGTTATTGTTGATCGATCACCAACGGCACACAAACAAATTATGATAAATAATGAACTAATGAACTGCCAGCCAAATTCCAATAGTACTTCCTATTCAAAAATCAACGAAAACTAAAACCAATCCACCGACTTCACGGAAATAGAGAAAAGTAAAAACCGAATCACAATTATAAACAAATGTTCCGACTAACTAATTATATTTCGGCATCGAGTCATGCAATTCACTTTTCATCTTTTTCCCCTTTGAAATCACAGGAGTAAAAATGCAGGGCTCATCTACTCAACGAAAATGAATTTATGAAAATCCAACGGAATCGAACACACGAAACAATAATCGCGAATCTTCACCTGAATGTTATGAATGTCAAAAAGGAATTTATTGCTTCGTCTTCGTACGATAGTTAACTTAATACTGAAATCAAAAACGTGAAATCTCTTGGAGTAGTTATGCGCCGTGAGCAGTAAAACACAACACAACACAAATCACATACAAAATTCAAATACCACACATCAACAAATACAGTCCACTTCATTCGGTGTTGTGAACGAGCGTGCACAGCCGTGATATATGGTGATTTTGGACGCGCTACACATATCGAGGCGAAATTATTTAACCGTTTAAAATATCACCGCACTCACTGCGTGCGCTCTCACCGTTTGTTCTATTTGTTAACACACTTTATATTCTGTGTATCTCTTTTAACGGTGTGTTAATGAATGTGGAAAGTAGAAATTTGAAATGCCGGGATTACAATACACACACAAATTCTTATTCTTCCCAACGCGAGTATACGATTTGGAACAACACTGCGTATGTTTCATTCAGTCAAAATAATTCAATTTATTATGTTATGCCGAGTATTCAGAGGTTTGAAATTCATACCAGCTAAAGCCCTACTGACAAAATGTTTGGAACATATACAAAAAACTTCGCACCCTTTTTTTGTGAAATGTCACACTTTTTGCGCCAAATTCCAAATGTTCATTTTGACAGCTCGGAAATTCATTTGGAATTCACATTAGAGGTTTCCTAATGTTCATCCGAAAATTTAATTTATAAATAATATTTTCCCCCAATGTTTCAATTGTTAAAAGTTGTTTATTCTGTATGAAATATTTGGGAAAAAGTTCGAAATCAAATTTTTGGATCAAATTTTCGATAGACTCGAACATTTCGTCAGTAGGTTTATCAGTAGAGAAGAAAAACGAAGAAAAATTAACTAAAAATTGAACTGCGATATATTTGTGAACAAATTGAATATGCAGCAAATAGTACACGTTGTTGTTTTAGGTTTTATTTTCATTATTCCATGCTTTGTTTTTTTTCTTCGCTGTTGTCAATTGTTTTGTGTAGAGGAATAAACGAGATATATTTTTTATACATGATGACTGGAGCAGCGATCGAAGTCCAATTATGGCTATGATTTATGTGTGTGCACTGCAACATTTTTGAGTGTAAAGACTAATATTGAGTTGGGGCAATATAGAGGTTTCAACTATTTTAAGATGAATTTACA